TAAAACTTCATTCAAGCTTTATTTTGATATCATGAAGCTTCATTTTGAATCAGCAAATTTAAGCTGAGATGTAGAAGCAATCAAACTAAGGACTTTTGCCACATCACGTGAACCTTATCCGAAGTCAAGATGTCTATGCCACTGAAAGGAAAGCTTGTCATTTTTGCAATACATAGATTACATGGTAGTAACTGAGGACACGGGGTCTGAAATGCACGATTGCATTCTTTCCATGGCTCTCTTAATATACTGTACCCTGAGGATTTTGTGCAAGTACTCTGTAGGGAATGAAAGGCTAGAGGTCATCTGAGCATAAAATGTTCAGGGATGGTGCAAGAAATCAAATATTTCCTTGGAGAGTTTTTTTTTTTTTGATTAATCAAATGAAATATGTTTGTAATATCTCCAGTGCTGAACACTTTTGATGTTTTATTCAAAAAGCCACACAATGTCTCTAGGTTACAGTAAAGGCAAAATAACTCATGCAAAGGCTTAGAAGCATGGGATGGTAGAACACAAATATAATATAGTACTTTTGTCCCTCATGGAAAACTGCATCCACAACATAATATTGTTCATTAATTCTGCTGTGGTGGTACAACACTGGAGCATGATTTAAGCAGAAAAGGTTCTGTTCCCCAGAAAACAAGGCAAGCAGAAAAAAAACAACCCAGGGCAGGAACACCCTTGTCTGCAAAGAAGAGATTTTGTGAGATGAGTCTCTGTGGATGGATCTACACAACATATAATGAAGCACGGGCACAGTGCCCTAAGCAATGGTATGAAACCACCTGTACTACATTATCACTGGCACAGACTCTGTTATGGGGTTGGTACCTGCCAGTGGGTATTCTCATGTTTTGGGGACCATTCCCTACGGGCAGTTTGGCTGCAGTTTCCCTGTTTTCGTTTAGCAGAGGCACAAGCCATACTGCATGAGGAGGTCCTGGGGCCAGAGATGGCTCCTGGCTCACTTTGCATACAGGTATAGGTACAGGAGTAGCTGCATGTGGGTCCTAGGTCAGGCAGCATTTTTGACTATGTGATGTAGCATCCCTTTGGGGAAGGCTCTTCCATGACTCTATACAATTCATGTATCCTTTTAGGTGTGCATGTTGTAAAGCTTCACTATTTAACATTCTTGGTCGGTGAAAATTTCCCTCTAATTTACTTGTTCCTGATGATCCCCTTTTAGATTGATAACAGGGATTAGAAATACAGTATCCTGGCAACTTCATTAATTTGTGCAGAGTCCCCTCTTCAACAAGAGTTCTGGCAGTTGTGAACCATGTCACCAGAGACTGCACACGTATTTAAAATTCGATTATATAAGTCTTGATTTTCAATTTCACTCCCCTGTGCTTTTAAATACCCTAGAAAGCATCTGCAGCCATGCCAACAAAGACCTCTCAAGCCATCAAAGCTCTCTCAAGTTTGGATTCCATTTGGAAATGCACATATGTAGCTGAAATAATTGCTGTCATTGTCAGACCCAGTTTGGCAATAGCAATAAATGGTCTATAGGCGATTTCAGAGGACTGTTTCTACCCATAAATAAAGCCATTTGTGCAACAGTTTTGGTCATACTGTTCTAAGGCTGTTTTGCCAAAATCCTTTTGGGAGATAGCTGTGGCCAGCTTAAGTGTTTTACTTGCTGCCCAAGAAATTCTTCTTCTTTGTAAAAATTCTGATTTTAATATATAGTGGGGGAGTGTTAGAGTGTTACTGGGTAGCCTAGGAGGAAGGCTACTACATTTTCAACCAGGTTAGCCTTTTAGCTACCCCTATGAGCTCCCGTCTGGACTAGAAACCTCCCTTTACAGGCCAGTTTCTAATTGCTAATGTTTAGTTTCTCCAGCAGTCTCTTTCTGACGGCTTTGGCCAAGATTCCAGCCGTGTCCTTACCAGTGCTTAGTCAGCCTTGCAAAGTCACTATCTGTTGACTATCTGCCTTTAATAATCTTTGTATGCTGACAATTTCCCTTCCTTTCTGAATCCTTTTCTTATATATTTGCTTCTTTTCTTTATTTTCACACAGAATTCAGTGCACCTCACTTGGATAGAGAGATCGTTCCTCTTCTGCCTGTGTTAATGGAAGAGCATTTACCACACCAAATCCCATAAAGCAAAAAATGCAGCAAATATAACTGTCTCCTCTGCCTTCTATTTTGGAAGGAGAGGTTAATAGTAAGACTATTGTTTTTTTCATTAGATCACTGATATAAAGCTTTGACACTGAACTGGATACCCAGTACTATGTTGTCACTGCCCAAAAGGTCTATTGTAAGTGTAATTTCTTCTACCCCAAACACATTACAGAGATATAAGAATCACCAGAAGGACCAGCTGTTCAAGGGTATTATTTTGCATCCAGAATTTCACCCAAGGGGTGAAGGAGTGTCTTCTAGTTTTGATTTGAAGATTGTCCCACCAAAATAATTAATCATTTGGCTGGAGAATACCTCAAGGAGGAAACTGCAGGATCTGGCAAGCTACAGATAAGAATAATATGCTGCAAATACTTTTTTTTTTCATCCTGTGAAAAATGTAAGATGTTCTAAACTAAATGCATCATCTCAAGATCCTTCTCATTGAGCTGTCAAAAATCAGAAGGCATATCAAACTATGAAATTGGTAATCAAAAAAAAGCCAAAAAAGAAATCAAAGTTGGTAGTCCTTGACTTTTGCTGCAAAGGTCTGTGTAAGGCAGCAGGGAGCTGCCTCTCAGCAGTGAGCACACTGGACATCTCTCTGATCATAGTGGTCCTAGAAGTAGTTGGATGAGGTCCCAGAATGGAAACTTGGCATTTGCCTAAAAACTGGAGACAATGGAAGCTGTTCCTTCTGCCACAAATGAGAAACTGGTGTATCTGTTGGCCCCAGTTCATAAGGGTGGACTGGTAGCTGGAAATAACTGACCAGGAAACAGGCTGTGCTCACCCTGAGGAGCAGGAAGATCTTTAAGGGTTTACGGACAGCAGTGAATGCTCTGTTGTTGTTACTGTCTTTTATCTACAGATATACTCAAGGTGCTGTTTATGCCACCTTTTCCGGGAGAGGGAGACAATCAGAGAGTGCACGATTTTCTTGTGCAAATAATTGTTATTGACGACAATACATACAGGACAACAGAGGGCACACGCTGAGGAAACGCTTCTATGACAAATGGGCTGATGAAAAATGAAACAGGTGCTTGAGTGAGGTGCAGACTGCAGGGCTAAGGCAGAAGTGAGACACTGATACGCTGGGACAGTGCTCAACAAATTACTGTTGTAGGCCACTTCCAGGCACAGTGTGAGTTACGTGGAGTTAACCTATGAAATTACTTCTGGTGCAGTTCTGAGGAGATACTTGTGCTATGTAAATGATTATACAAAAAGCCTAAATTTAGACAGGGTACCTTCAACCACTCTGCTACCTAGAGCATTTCTCACTTCCCATTGTGGAGCACATTGTCTGAGCTTCACATCAGCATGCAAGCTGGGCCAGCATCACACAGCTCCTGTGCTGCAGCTGCTGTGGGACATGAGCCAGGACCTTTGTCCCAGGATGGAGAGAGGAGCGATGAGCAACCTGGTTAGCAGCCTGGTAGCTGGTTCCCTCCAGTAGCTCACTGAACCACAGGCAAATTTGGAATTTATGCATCTGAGAGGTCTCCATGGGGGAAGGCTAGCCTGGAATGGTGACCTCAGCAAACACTGCTGGTTTGCCCTCCAGGAAATGTTTATTTATGCAGGTTTTTCCTGCAGAGTTGTGTTGTGTAGGACATCATCATCTGAGGGATGGGGCATTGCAATTCAATGGGTATTTTACAACCTACATGTCTGTGATAATACGTGCTCTTAAAAAGGAAGAAGGCATTAAAATCACACTTCTGTCTAATTAGTTTTACCACAATTGTTGAATATAACATCCATGATTGCCATTGCAGAGTTTGAAGTTACTTCTTGGAACAAATTACCTGTATTGTATCTTTCCCATACAGTCAGAGTCACTGCCTTCTGTGGTAGCCAACCAGTTTTTTATGTGGGGGGTACCACAAGAAAGAGCAAAACATTAATATACTGGGAAAAATGTAAATGGAGAAATCCAAAACCAAGTCCACTGGGGGCAGTGGTACCCCCAGAGCTGTGTTACTACATCTTTCACTGCTGGACCCATCCCATACAGGGGTCAGATTCACCTGGTGCTCTCAGCTCCTGCCTGTCAGGTGGCTGCTCTCATTTGCTTTGGTGCTCTCTGGTTAGGGCAGTCACTCTCTTTGTTTTGGCAAGCTTTGGCAGATGAAGTTCCTTACCTGAATACTGGCTAATGTAATGCCAGAAGCCATTTTATCCAAAGAATGGAGAACAGCTTGAGAGAAAGGCTAGGCTGCCTGCTGTGGCATTTTCACAAAGAGCCATTTTCACAAAGATCCACTTCTTCACGTGTGGATCCACAATAATGCTGGTTTTGTTTGCTAAAACCACCTGCCTTACCAAGCCAGATCAAACTTAAAGCACCCAGTAGTACATCTCTTGGTGGCAGGTGATTGCATCTCCAGTGGAGGTACCAGGGCTTCTCTGCCTGAGGGAATCAGTTCTGCACAAGCTGTGCTCTTGGCTGGCAAAGGTACAGACAGCGCAGCACTGGCCATGCTGCGTAGATGACCAGTGAGAGGCAGCAGGCTTGGGCAGCACCTGAGCCCAGCAGTGGGAGAGAGGGCCGTGACAGAGGAGCTGCTGCATCCAAATCCCTTGGATACATTTAGCCCATCTGCAACTTTTCACAGTGATTACTGCCTCCATCAATTGGTCTTTATGCACCAGTGACACTTCTTATTAAAAAAAATCACTCTGACATGTTCTTTGAAGCAGACTATAGCTGGCTTGTGTCTCTGTCTCCAAATAACAACTCCTTCTGCTTTCCTAAAGCATCTCACAATCACAGCGCAAGCGTGCAAGAGTGTGAGCAGGCTGGGGGCAGCGTGCAATGGCAAATGAGGCATGAAAAGCTCCTACCATCAACCACGGGTTTGGGCTGTGAGCTCTTCAGCCGCAGCGAGGGCCTGAAGCGGGTTCGGTCATTGAAGCTCCAGCTCTTCTGGACTTTGGTTGGGCTGCCCTCGGTGGCAATGTCAGCACTTGGGGAGCGGCGATCTCCGACTGAAGATTGCCTATTCTTTATACTTTGACCTCGTGGGCTGGCCATCCGGACTCGCTCCTTAAAACTCAGCTTTTGACTGTGAGGGAGAGAAGTATATTTTATTTCATAGTTCCTTCACTCCATTCCTTTTTTCCACTGTATGATAATTTCTAAAAATTCTCACTGGTATGAATCTGTTTCTTACACACTTTTATTTTCATTGAATATATTTAATTTGTGAATGAAACTGATTTGATGAACTTGTTTTTTGATAGAAGCATTATCATTGGCAGCCTATCATACAGTACAGAATAACCTTGTAAATGAAATTAAATTAACAAAAAAACCACAAACTTCACCCTATTATTATTTATTAATCTCTACATTTTTTCCCTATTCCTTGAATTTTAAATGGGTGTGTCCATCTTATGCACTTATGCTCACTGCATTTCTGGCCATGTCTTCAGATAAACAAAACCAAAATGTTTTCATTCAATTTTTATGGCATGCCATGTAGTATTGTCTGGGTTTGTTTTTTTTTTTAAGCAGGCAAAAATACTGTTAGTGTATTCATGACTGTTTGGGATTTGGCACTTCCAACATTTCATATGCATGATTAGTGTTCACTCATATCCAGAATTCCTTGTTACAGCACTTACTTGGTCAAGGCAAAAACAAAATTAACAAAACATTCAAAAAACATCATGATGACCTATTAATGGAAATGTAATGATACGCTGTGTGCTCCCTAAAGTCATTGCTGGAGATTAAGCTGAGAGCTGTCTACATGCAAGTGGTATTGCACAGGTGCTTTAGGACAGGTACAAGAGCCCAACCAAGCTCATGAGTGTGTCTCCTGGATCATGGATGATCCTGTGGTTTTATGGTTGGCCAATTGTAAGCTGTTCTTTTCCCCTGCTGTGCTTATAACCCTCCCCTCCAGCCAGCTAAATGTAGACTTTCTATTTCCCAGTGCTTAAATTACCTTTGTTTGTGTTCAAACATATCTGATGAACTATTTGCTTATGCCTTTTCATTATTTGACATTTTTGCCTTTGTTTGTCGCTTCCTGCAGCAGAAGATGCAAAGGGGAAACAGAAAGAGAGTCTGATACTGAGGTCTGGAAACCTTGTTTTATCTGCAGGGTTAAGTTCAACTGGTTGAGCAAAAAAAGGGTCATCTTGATCAGTGGTCCTGTTCTTACAAGGGGAGAGATGATGGTGCCAATGCAGGAGCTGTTCAAGGTATGATGTTACCGGGTCTTGCAGTTCTACTGCTCTACATAGGCTTTGTGGGGGCTTTTAAAATACTTGAGCAAAGACTATCTACCTGCAAATTATAGTTGTTCTTGAAGTTAAGACACTTTCTAGTATTCTCAAAGCCTTCGCATTTAACTTCAGCATGCCCATAAGATGTTTTCAATGGAAATGAATTCTGCAGCTAATTTACTAATGCTAACATGGATTATGTGGTTCTTAGATATTCAACCCACTGCACTCTGAAAATACAGTGTTAATATGTACTTAAATGAAATGTAGTTATAGGCTTCTGTGGCTGTGAAATATTGATATAAACAGATATCTTTGTCCATGCATAGCAGAACTTAGCATTTCAATCTGAATACAAACATCACTGAGAGCAGAAAGGATGCAGTTTGTCACAGGCAAAACACATGCTGAAAACTTAATTATGAGGTAATTTTCAAGAATGATAAAAAATCAGCACATTAATAAAAAGATAATTAGATAAATTGATTTCTACATGACATGATGGTTTGCTTAAAAGAATACCTTTACTATAACTTCTGAACGTAATCCTTTACTTCCCTTGCCAAGGTAAGCAATTGTTGAAATAAACACATCATGGTGCTGAAAATATTATCTATTTCCATTTCAAATTGCTACCCAGGTCTGCAGTACTGTGTGCTGTGGTATATGCAATATAAAAGACCCACAAAACCTACTATTTGAAAGAAAAGTGAGTTCTAAAATTTAATTTTCAATACAAATTACATTTCAAGACTAAATTATATTTCAGCTCAGGAATCTTTTGCATTGTACAACAATGAAAATATAAGCTGTAAAATATTTATTAACCACATTATTGCATTGCCATATTATACAGTGTGAGCAAGAGAATAAAAATGGACTTTTATTACAGATATTATTCCTACACGTATTCCCTTATGCTTTTTTTCTTTTTTTTTCTTTTTAATAGCTCAAATTGTACTTGTTATGGAAGGATGAAATAAAATTATACTTTCTTTTGACAAGTCTTAGAAAGCCCTTTTCCTGTTTTTCTAACAGAATTGAAAATTGATAAAATGGCCATAAAAACTATCAGTGTAGACCATATTTTTTATAATCCCAGTAACCCCAAAATAAAAATGAAAATTTAAAAACAAAATTTAAAGAAGCACACATGTTGTTCAGTCGATTAATTTCTACTAGTGAAAGCAGTGTCAGCCTTTAAATGATTGGTAGACATTGTTATTTCATTTATAAAAAGCTCAATGATACACAATGGCTACTTAACCTGCATATCTTTAGTTCTCCAAATCAAAGCAATGAGACAATGGAAAGGAACAGTAGACACTTAATCTGTGCTATAGACATTTTTCAGAAGTGCAACACTGAGAATGAAAATATTAATTTAAAATGCAGAGCTCATAGATATAAATAAAATGAAATCTGCTTTGTAGCAATGGCAATGTGCTGGCATGCCAACAGTCCATGTGGAGGATGCTGTGTCCTGAAGAGAAACGCAACCCCTGAAGGAAGCAGGGTTTGGAAACTCTGTTTTGCATCTTGAGATGCATCTCCAAAGAGGCTGGTTATAGCAGGTCTTTGCTTCTTTGATCCCTGTTCCTATTTCGAGACTGGTGGGAAATGTTCCTGAAGTCACTGGGTCCTAACTCAGCACAGGCATAAGTTGTATGACCAGTAGCAGTGGGGAATTCGTGCTTGGGAGAAGAAAGCTGCTGTCCTTGGGACCACTCTGCCATGGGGCTCTTCTATATATGATAAATAACAGATCATGAAGGAGTAACTGTATCAGAGCATTTTGGAGGGATCCTAACCAGGCTTTTCCCCGGAGTGAAAGTCCCTTTCCTTATGGGCTATAACCTAGTTCCTGGCTCTAGATGCAACAGTGGTAAAGATGATGTTAGAGATACAGAGTGGAGATAATCTTATGCCTTTTCAAGCATCTTTGAACATTCTGTATTTGAATCAGTAGCCACTGAAGTCTTTACGGCCCTTTATTCTGACTTAATGCTGTCCAGTACATGCTAAAAATCCTTCACCTCTTTTTTTTCAGGACCTAGCCTATTATAATTTTTGTCTCTCACCTTTTAATGTTACATGGTATCCAAAGGAAATCCCTTGAATTAATGTAAAACCTGTTAATGGGCATTGGAAATTCACATATCCCCATAAGTTGTCTCAAATTTGAAGTTGAATGTTTGTCCAAAAGGCAAAATTATGAGAAAGAATCAGGAAAATGAAATTACTCAAGTTCCCAAATCAAACATAAGTGACAATGATCTGAGAGATCCACAGCTGTCTCCAGTCTTCCCTGGCAATGGGAAGAATTGGACCTATCACTCCTCTATTGTTGCAGGTTGCAAGTAGTGGAATGCATTCATATTGATAACACTGGAGCTTTGAAGCATCTTTTAGTGGAGATCAATTACAACTGGCAGCTGTGGGAAAGCAAGCAAACTACTTTTCTCTATTCGTTTGCCTTCTGGAAGGCCAGTTGCAGGGTTTTACTACTCATTCCTTCTGTTGTACGCCTGAGCCATTCACTTCCCTGTGAAAGCAAACGACTTTCTTTCTGTCATTTCTTCTTTTTTAAATTCTGCCTTTCCCACCTTTGATTTATGAGGGAATAGGTGTTTAGGGACACTAGAGGTCACTGTAGCTTCACTGCAGGAGGAACGAACGCTGATGGTCCAAATGATTAGACTGTGTGAGATCTTCTTTTAAATAACAAATGCCTACGAACTTTTGCTTGCTCTGTCCTCCACGGACCATCTTACTGTACTTCTTTTTGTTGATTGAGCATCTCTTTCCCTCCCAGTCCCACTCTCCCATTTCCCTGACCATCTTCCTACATATCTGGTCAAGTTTAACTTCTGCTTTCCTTCAGCCTCAGACCTGCAACACTACTGCTGGCTACTAGACACAGTTTACAACTTATTGTTCAGCTTTTCATACTGAGACAGCTGGTGGTAGCAGAAATAGGAAAAAATTGGAATGAATGGAGAGCCTGAGGGTGAGGGAGTATGCTTTGGGTCTCAAGACAGAAGCTAAAACTGCCAGAAGTTATCACCATTGTAAAACAACAGTAAGCAGGTGTACAGGCAAATTTCCAGCATCCAATAAATACAGGTGTTGATTTTTACCAAGCCTGACTGAAATTAGGCTAAGCTGAACAAATGCAAATGCAATAGATAGTACAGTGAGACCCGAAGTTCAAATGTTCAAGACTTCACCACCAGTCTCGAGCTAGGACCATGAACTCAAGAAATGTAGTGTAATATCTCATACCTTCAATGAGTAATAACAAGAATTTTGGGTCATAATGTCTTATAGCTCAATTGTCAAACAGAAAAAAATAAATGGTATTGAGTTTTATGCGGTTTTTTTTTCCTTTTTCAGAACAGTTTCCAGAAGAAGAGAAATTATTTTTTTATCTTCATTTTTTATAATGTGTTTGCACTTCCATTGTTTTTTACATTATTTTTAAAAAATAAGAAAAAATGTAATCAGCTTGAGATACAAATCATGGGTTTCTTCCCATAAGATCCATTCATCTAGGAATTATCATTTTTGGTAAGAGACACAATTTCCACAGAATTCAGCTGAAGCAAATGGTTGATTTCACATGCATTCCTCTACCTTCCAGAACAGGATGCAGGCACAACTTCCTCAGGCTGTGTCCAAGGGGATTCTTCTCAACAACAATTCCATATTTTGACTCTTGTAATTGCCTAGCATTAATATTCCCCACTAATTACTTGATAGAGAACTCAACTGCCATGGTCATAAAAGTCCTCTTGGACTTGGGGAAATGTCTTTATGCAAATATTCAACCCCACTTTTAGATCCCTGCAACATAATGCATTCCAGAAGTCGAAGTCTCAAGCAGAGAAGAGGAACACGGCTTGGTGAAACCACAGCGTGCTGTGCAGTGCAATTGTCTGACTGGATGAGTTTTAAAGAACTCGTATCATTGCCATTGTGTTAATGGCATTGCAGGCAACAAGCAACAAGGGATTTACAAGCACTTAAAGAGAAATAAATTAAGAAACATTGTTTGGAGAAGTAAGGAACTTTAAAGTGCTAAGGAGGGGAAATAAATGAATCATGCACCTGATGTTAGCTGGCATTCTCAAACATCATATGAATAGGCAGGATGCTGAATACCTATGTTTCCGAGGGGTGTACATCCTGAAGAGCTTCTGTTTATTACTACAAAGCTCACTAGGAGTGAGGGGAGATAGAGGACCATGTTACAAAGCATTCCAGTGCTAGGTAAGGGGTTAGGCTTTCCACCTCAAGTTAGATTATGCATCATTGGCAGTTTTCTTTTTTATATGGTACATGCAGAGTGTTTATATAAAATCTACTTTTAGAAACAGATACGGTATAGGAGGTGGAGAGAATTCCAGAGTATCATTTGTTTCTCACAGAACAGGGGTGACTTTTCAACCCAAGCTCCTATATTGGCAAAACTTCTCCTTATTGCATCAGAGAGAGCTGTCTGAATAAGGAATTAATATTCAGGTTCATGGGTCACAACACTAGATGGGTGACATTCATCCTTTGCAGACATTCAGTGCATGTCCTACACATAGCCTAAGGCTCCTCATGTTCTGAGGATGTCAAAAGATTGATCAGTCTTTATCTAGTTTCCTGCACAGAAACAATTTCATCTGTGTTGTATAACTGAACAGAAATAAATATTTGTGTTCAGTGTATGGATTCGTAGATATTGAGAATTTAACATATAGGCTTTTGCAACAACTTGCAGAACTCTAGAACCGATTATAGAAATATCTCATTTACAGTGTGGATACACCAGAGAGCTTGTCTACCAATACTCTGACAAATCATTAATTAGAATATTTGTGTGTAATATTTTGGGAAATACAACATACATATTTTAATTAAAATCGATGTGAGGCTACATCCTCATAAGCACAGCTCTGACAACTCAAATGCACGGCAACAATTGGTTACCTAATAAAAGACTGTAGGTCTATGTGTGAAAAACGCAAGAATTAATCTCTGTAAATAGAAGTCAGTCTGGTAGGAAAGAAAGTAACTTTTATTTAAAGCAATAAAAGTTTTTCTCTGCTGTTAAAATAATAAAGTAGAGAGAAAGAAATCCAATGCACTGCTTGTGCAAACACATCTTCATTTAAAGAGTGAAACAAGCAGCTTGCTTAGTTCACATAGCATCCCATTCATTAGCATTGCAGGAAGAAACAAATTAAATAGTTGAGAACAGCTCTCTCAAAGTACATTGCAGCAGTTTGTATTTACATTTTTGACACAAAGGACCACATACACCACATATATTTTCAGTGATACAAAAGTACAGTAATATGTAAGCATAAGAATGATAAACAGCCACTGACAAAAAGCAACTTTTTTAAAGGCACAGAGTGGTCTGTAGGGTTTTTACTGTAGACCAGGATCTCGGGAGCTAACTAGATCATTTTTGCACGTACACTAATTTGCAGCAGTGTACATATTAGTTAGGAGTTTCTGAAGGGACAAACACCTTGGGAAGTGCTGGTTTCTGCACCCAGAATGGGGCAATAATGGATGTGTGTACAGACTGGGGAATGAGATGCTGGAAAGCAGTGCCACAGAAAGGGACCTGGGGGTCCTGGTTGATGACAGGTTGAATATGAGTCAGCAGTGCCCTGGCAGCCAGGAGGGCCAGCCGTGTCCTGGGGGGCATCAGGCAAAGCATCACCAGCCAGCTGAGGGAGGGGATTGTCCTGCTCTGCTCTGCAGTGGGTCAGCCTCACCTTCAATGTTGTGGTAGTTTTGGGCACCACAATATAAGAAGGATATTAAGCTCTTAGAGAGCATCCAAAGGAGGGCAATGAAGATGGTGAAGGGTCTTGAGGGGAAGCTGTATGTGGAGTGGCTGAGGTCTGTTCAGTGGCTGTTCAGTCTGGAGAAGAGGAGACTGAGGGGAGACTTCATTGCAGTTACAACTCTGTTGTGAGGGGAAGAGGAGGGGCAGACACTGATCTCTTCTCTGGTGAGCAGTGACAGGACCCAAGGGAATGGCCTGAAGTTGTGTCAGAGAACGTTTAGGTTGGATATTAGAAAAAAGTTCTTCACCCAGAGTGGGGTTGGGTACTGGAACAGGCTCCTCAGGGAAGTGGTCACAGCACCAAGTCTAACAGAGTTCAAGAAATTTTTGGGTGACACTCTTAGGCACATGGTGTGACTTTTGGGGATGGTCCTGTGCAGGCACAGGAGTTGGACTCAATGATCCTTGTGGGTCCCCTCCAACTCATCATATTCTGTGGTTCTGTGATCATCCAGTCAGTGAAAATAAAGTGAAAAAATCTGACTAAATCACTGACTTCTCTTAAAGCCACAACAGTTATCACTAATATAGAACATGAATTATGACCATGTTTTGACAACTGGATGTTTGGTTTGGATCTAGCTTCCAGTTACTGTAGGTAAATTTCTCTCTTTAAGTGCTCATAGGTACAACTGGTAACAGCCTTGCCCCTCTGCAAAAGTCACAGTTTTAGGGGAATGTACTCATTTACTGCCAACTTCAGCTTCGCCTTTCAAAAAAATCAATTTTAAATGTTGCTGTTGAAAGAGTGGGAAATACAGCTAGTGAGTGCACAAAGTTTGGATCCAGCTGTAATAATTTAAAGAGATCAATATGTTGCTAGCAAGCTTATGGAGGTTATGTATATGAAAAGTCACAGAACTGACATAGCAAATCCTGTCCCCTTGAGTCACTATGACACTAACAGCAGATGCATGCACTGTGAGGAAGAGGATGGAGTCAAGTGCCAGAGAAGCCACCTGGAAATGTGAAGATTTTAATCCCTGACTGAATAACCCAGAAGTTTGCGAACCACAGTGCAACTCTAGGGTGCATTATTTTGGGGATTCATGTGTAACCAAGATTTTTTTCTTGGCTTTTCAGCGTTTTATGCTGGTAGGCAAACTCTGCTATTCCCTGAGCATGCTGATACCGCAGTGCCAGCTGCCAAATACCTGCTGATTCCCATCCCTAGTGAGTTTCTAAGATAGAGTAATTTCTCTTGTAACCCTTGAGTCCTTTCCTGTCCCTAAGGGTTTGGGCTATCAGTACAGCAAAGACCAGCATTCTCTCCAACTGCCTTAGGATGTGCAATTCCAGGGCTTTATTTACCTGGTAAGGATAGCCCTGCCAAGGCTTGCCTGTGCCTGCTGTAGGCATCCAGTCCTCAGCTGGCATCTAGGCTGGGTGCAAACCCTCCTGCCCTCCCAGCCATCAGCAGTGGTTCTTGCTTTAGGAGACACACCAGGCTGCCTCCTCTACCTGAACTGCGCCGTGTGAGAGTGCAAACCGTGCAGCCAGGAGCAGGTGAGCCACTGCAGTCCTGCTTTCCCCCCACCTGCCATGTCCCAAAACACTCCTTAAGAGAGGATGACAGAAAAGTTAGGAAACATGGAGTCACGGTACTGAGGAAGCACTGAGGATACTCATGCAGGGCAGCACAGACTCTTGCCAAAGTGACATCCAACCAGCCCTGTTGGAGGGTCCTTCCCCTGCAGTGGAGGGCTGGTGGGCTTGTTCACAAAGCCAAACTAAGCTATACGTCTGTGATTCCTGGAAAGGAATCATTGATTTCATGGCAGAAGCTGGGGCTGTGTCCTTGCCCAGGCACTGGGTCTGGGGAGGCTGCTCCACTGGTTGCTCTGCCACTGTTCAACCTGAGCCCCTCAAAGTTAAAACATGGGAATAGAAATGTAAAAAACAGCCTAGTTTTTCCACACATAAACTGGGACAAAGAAGCAAATTTCAGCAGCATTAGTATATTTACATGAGTTTAAAAAACCCCCACTTTTTGATTGTTATCTATCAACAGTTACAGTTCACTGAACCTATTATACAAACTCTGAGACATCTAAAAGCCATTAGAAAGCAGCAGTTTCACAGATAAAAGAAATAAAGGAACTACAAACCTGCTAGAAGATTCCCCTTGTTCTTTTCTTCAGGTCAGGGAGTGGGAGGGAAAAACATAATTGTTATGCAGATAGTAATCACACTACTTAGTTACAGATAATGTTAGATATACGATAAATGTAAATGGGTACGTTAATTGGCGTACAACACACACATAACATTGCAACCACAAAAACATTCAAGCAAGACTCATAACTACAATGTTTCCGGAAAAGAAAATTTTAGTAGTTTTAACACATGCATAACATGCTTAGTACATACCACTGCAGACTGAGTTGGCAAAGCACTTAGGCAAAATGCATTGCTGACACATATATAACAGAAAGCTGTAGGTTCTTTTTAGATAAAGTTATTTCTGGTAAATAAAAAGGTTTAATTTTATGATAGCATGGCAATATGCTTATTTAAAATAACATGTAGATACAGTTTTGAGGGACAGTCATTTTTTAGAATGTTTTATCTGGGATACAGCTTCATTATTTATGTAAATCTATATCCATCCATTTATACCAATGTTGCCTTCAACCTGTCTGTATATGTAAGAAAATCAATATTCCATGTAACTTTTAATCTAAAAGCTCCTTTTAGTTTAGAGAATTTTGGAATTATAGTTATGGTAATGGATTACTTACGGCTCTGTTCTTGTCAACTCTTTGAAATTCAAAGATCAGCTTTAGATACCCAGCCAAACTTCCTTTTGGCTGAGCTTTTTGGCACACAATTACCTTTTAACTGTCATGTGGATGTTCATCACCCAGCTTTGAGAGAAACCACTAATTCTCTTGCACTGTCTGCAATAACAACAGTTAGGATGCTTATCAGAGCTTTCCCATAAGGCTCTCGTGCTCTCCTTTTTTATTTTTATCAAGTATCTTTTACTTCCTGATCTGTGCCCTATATTGAATCAGTCAACTCACTACCTTCTGCTAAATCTTCTACTGAATTATTGAAAAGTCTTGGGCAGCCAGTGCTCTGTGAATTCTCACCCAAAGTAGGATATCAAATACTTCCTGTCTGCCAAACTGTGGCATCAGGTCTTTTGAGTCATCTTCCACTGGCTGTGTGTATTAATGAATATATATTTTAACCTAAGGAAATACTAAATATATCAGACATTATGACAAAAAGAAGCATATTTCCCAGTGCATTCACCTCCAGAATACCACAAGGTACTCTTCCTTTGGAAAGGTAGATCAGTAGCTATAGCCTTTTACAGAGGCACTGGCATAAACATACCATTGAATCAAGGATCAAGCTCTGCATCAAAGTTAATATTTTCCTTCTTAAAGATAATTTGGAACAGGGTGAAACATTAACCTTGAGGCCCAAGTGGCTTTTTGGGAAAATGTTTCTAATGTCTGTGCATTTCTTCGATGAATGGCAATGATTTGTATTTGTCCCACTATCCTAGGCTCCTAGATAATATTGATTTCATTTGTTGGTTGAAATTTTTAATGAGAGGGCTCGAGAGGATTTAAGAAAACAAACCGAGACAAAACAGACAAACACTAGTTCTCTATAAGCTTGAACAAACATCAAGAACAGCACCAGCTGCCATATTTGTACCTACTTTGTAGGGCTGCAGGTATGCAAGGCCTTCAAATGAGGCTTCCAGGTAGCAATGGAAACTGATTTCTCATCAGCAGCATAACTACGCCATACACACTACGTGCAGGATATGTGGTAAAAAAAAGAAAGAAAAAACAAGGCAAGAGGGAGCAGGGGATGAAACAAAAAATTGAAAAGCAGATTAGTCACCAATACAAGTTATGTCTTTCTCTTATCATTCATAGCACTGATACATGCCTGAGGGGAGGAAGAATACTTTCATAATATCGCCAGGTGGCTGTCAGGTTTGTTCGGCTGGCATCAGTAGAATAAAACCGCCAGGAAGCCTGGTATGGGGAAACAATAGAAAAGCACAGAGGAACCAAGAAAATGAAGTGACAATGCCACCTCACTGACTACAGAGCGAGGGGATATTGCTCAGATTGGAATGTGCTCTGTTAGGTTGATTCAGCAAGTACCAGTAAAAACATACCAAAAGTTTTGTGAATCACAATACACTTTACAGGTGAGGTAAGATTTACTGGCTCCATGAAAGCACCAGAAGATATAAAGGTACTCAGAAAAGCATTGCAGGGATTTATTTGTGACAAGTCCATAGGGGATACCCACACAAACATGCAGTCTGAGGTAAAGAAAGTGTCATAATACATTCTGCAAATTATCATGAAAACCAGGCAAAAACTACTTAGAAGAAAAGAGAAGCCTTTTCTGTGGTTTGAAACACTCCTAAATGTTTAAAACCACAAAATTAATAATTTCAAAGGTGAGGAACCAAAGCAATAGCATTGAAAATGTATCCACTGCTCTAGATTTATATCTGTGTATAGATAGTAAGACAGACCCTCCGTTCCACAAGCTGGAACACCTTCCCTGATGTTAGCATAACTATATTAATTTGTACTAGCTAAGGATCTGTGCTTCCTGTATATTTTCAACCATTATATGTCATCTAGGTATTCTTAAAAGGAAACTAATACCCTGTGTTTTCCCATTACATATCTACCAGAAACATACCTAGTCTTCATCTACAGATGGAGAACCTGTCACTCACTTTGTAACTTGCTTAGTTCGTTGATCATTCCCACTGTCAAAAATGTCAGCATTATTTTTAATTTGAAAGTAATTGATTTTGCCTTATATCCAGAGTTACTTGCTATGTTTCTGCCTGCTACATTTAACAGTCCAGTAGGTTCCAGGACTTCCTCTCTGGAATTATGTTAAAATAATTCTCACATTGACTATTTCTTATAAGCTAAAGAATTGAGAAATGTATATCCATATGAAACATTTTCTACAGCTATCTTTAGGTCAGGTAAAGGCTCTGGCAAACAGTCTATCTGTGGCAACAGAAGAGTTAGTACAGACTAATTCTACAGAGTAACTGATTAGAAAATAGACATTATCCTGATAAGATTTTGACACTGATTTCCATAGTAGTTCATTATCAATATCAGAACAGACAATTTACAAAAACCTGGGCACCATTACAGTACACAATGATGTGCAGTTGAGACACATCCAGCATTTATGAACACAAAATTTTCTCCAGTACTTGACTCATTTTCTTCCAATGTTTTATTTGCTTTCTTCAATATTCCAGTCTCACTTACAAACTTCAGATGCTGAATTGATAGGTAGTATAATAATATGAGCATCATCATACACTGCAGTGGTAATAACAGCTTTCTTCTTGTTATGTTTGTGGTTCTGTATCTAAGGACTGCAATAAAACCAGGTGGAGGAACATACTGGGAACTTGTATGAAGCTCTTGACCCTCATTTCCTGCTCTTTCTCCTCTGTGTTTCTTGTGCGTCATCAAATCCTTTCCGGTGACACTAATACTGGGATAGAGGCGTCTTGTAATAATATGAATTCACTGTTTCTAGATCAAGTTTTGTATTTGTTGTATTAAGACATTTGGTAGGAATCATTTCACCCTAAAGTCACCCAGGTCATCTCTGGTTTTATTCCTATGTGCCTGTCCTCATATTTCCTATTCTGCCAGCCTTGTTCCATCCTCAAATACATCTAGCAACAATATTATATTAATTTTTGGATCACTGAAAGTGGTAAACATGTAACTGAACATGTAAGTGCTGAACAGCCTTCATCGTGGGATCCCACAACAGATGTTTTCCTTTCGCAATGATTTTGCCTGTTGGGAGTCACTCTCTGAAATCAGTCAGATATCTACTGGTAATCTATTTAGCATGCTGTTTTACTAATATAATCTTACTAATACATAAATAAAATAATAAGAATAGCCACATTCAAAACCTTAATCTATTATATGTTTCCTTTGGCAACCAAACTTGGAAGAAGTAGATTAGAATACATGTGTTAGAAAGTACTTTAGAAGTCATTCTAAAGTACAATAGACACAAAAGGAGTGGACTTATTTTTCTTAATTATTCTAACAAATATTAAATAATAAATATTTATTATTTAATAAATTGAACAGTAACAATGGAAAACATTTATTAACTAGGAAAGCTTCAAAGACAGTCTGGTATCTATCATGTACTTAACATGGATCTCTAGCATATTCATGCTCAGCTTCTCTTTTTGGACTTATTATTTCAAAATTAAAAGCCATATAAAAAATAAACAGGACTCTAGAAGATTATTTCCCTCCTTTTTTTTTTTCCTCAGTGCATCAAGCAGAGTAAAGCTTGGTGCAAAATCATTCTTTAGAGGATTTTCTCATTTTTAACTGGGACTGTAAGTTAGGGAAAAAACCTATGCAAAACAGCTGCTTAACACATATCATGCCACTTTTTGTTGATCTGCACCATCATGTCAATACTGGAGCTGAAACAACTTCCCAGAATTTCGGATATTTTCTAATTGTTATTGCCTACATTTCCATCTTCAGAATTGACTAATAGTGAAAGCAATTCTCTGTGCAGGACACTTTTTGTCTTCGCCAAGTATATCACTCACTGGAACACTCTAAAGCCTGTAGTAAATAAATGTTAGCTTAATATAGGCAAGAGTGCTGCACTGTCAGTTGGATTGTCTAAGGATCAACTCTCTTTTCCCAAATAATCTTCTAACTGCAGGAATGCATTTGTCATCCTTGCCTTTGTTTCTTCAACATGAAGAGAAGAACTTGAAAACTACACTTAAAAATGCTATATACAGTTGGACTTGATGATCTTACAAGTCTTTTCCAACTTAAATGATTCTATGATTCTGTGCAGAATTATGGAACACATAGCAGTCACTAAACACAGTTATTTCATGAAACTAACCAATATGTTAAACTTCATTTCCACAAAACTTTCTAAATTGGAACAATAAGACTTGCTCCAATTTGCACTTTAAATCACATGCTATTTTTTTGGTGGTTTCATATTTACCTGAATTAGACTTGCAGCTGGATTCCTTCTTTTCTCAAAGTGTTTCTGACGATGCTGCTCCTGCACTTTCAATGCGAATCCTGAGCCAAGGATGCCCTGCAATACAGTATGTAATTTATCAGTGTGTAGGTAGTTTTTCAACAAATATACATCATTAATTACAAAGATTTTACGAAGATGTTATACCATATGATTGCTTCAGATAATACATTTATGACAGTATATGACAGTATAAGGCCCCAATATAAGGCACCAGTGCCCCTGCCGTGATGCAGCAGGAGACTCCTTATGTAACATCTGTGGCACTACCAATGACCAGACATCCCAACCACTACCTGGGTTTGTGCTACACTACGTTTCTGCAATTTTAAAGGCCATGGAGATAGATGTAGATAAGTATTTATAAAATCAAGCAGGAATACTCAGCGGAACTTAAGTCAGGAATGATGAAATGACCAGCTGGCAGATGCACCAGATATATGCAGTCCATATCTGCAGTACTCATTATAATCTTTGATTTTAGAAAAGTTAAAAAATGCTTTCCTTAACAGATTAAGACCATTTTTTTTCACTCTTTCTCATCTAAATAGTGCCCACAGTTCATTCTATAGGCTACGAAAAAAAAGTTGATTATGAAACTTCTCTCACTGCAGCCTTTTTACCTTTGAGAAAGATAAATTTGACTCCTGCTGAACAGATCCAAAGGCTGAGAGTGTTTTCCTCCTTGACTTGCAAGGAGTGTAATAATTTTGCTGGGGTATGTCTGCATTATAAGGAAGAATATTTCCACTTGATTCTTAGTCAGAATAATATACTATCAGAAGTGCATAAGTTTCACACATACCTCTTGTTTTACAGACAGATTCAGCACAGAAGTGTTTATAAGGAAAATTATTATCTGTACATAGATATGACATGAAGAACAAAAGTTCTGGCATCTCTAATATGGGTTATTCATCTTTTCATTGTAGTGCTGCTAAGACTAACTTTCTTGTTAGTGGTGACTAGGTGACAAAAGGAATTAATTACAGTAGGAGTCAATAAATGTCAAATAGTCACAAACAGGTAATGTATTATTATTATTATAATCATAATGCATTGTAGTATGCCAAAGATACTGAAATGCTATACCTAGAGTAAGAAATAAATGCAGTGCACCAGATGATTTAATGCTATTGGCAAATGCTGACTTTTAATCTTGGTTTGTCTACATGGTTGAAAACAGACATGTTTTATAGTGATCTATAGATAATGTATCTGAATATTAAAATATTAGAACGCGTTACACTGGAGACAATACAAAAAATACAAATGTCACTTCTCAATTCACAGTTATTCAATAACAATTTTAAAAAGAAAGGAAATTCACTCAAAGAAATGAGAAGTTATTTCTGAAGCTACACTATATTTTAGTCATTAGATGGTTCTCATTTCCATTAAAGTGTCTTGAACATTGATAAAAACAACATAAACAAACTGTAATGTTTATTTAGAATCATTCAGAGAAAGTGATAGTTGCATTTTTTACATTCAACAATATTAACTTTAATTGATTTAAAGCTGTCTTCTACTCTCTGTTGCTAGCCTGAACATGGTCAACCAAGACAAGCTATTGGAAATATCTCACTTTTTATTTTTTCAGTATAATCTAACTCAGAAAAACATGTAATCTACTTTTGGTTTGGTTTTGTTTTGAAAAAAATGAAAGAAAATTATTAATATATAATGCACAATTCATAAAAAAAGGAAACTATTTTCAACCTTACACAATAGTATGCAACCTAATTTAGGAACATTCCCTAGTTTTGTCCATGACAGAGAAACTGAAAAACCGAAAGTAAAGCAGCAACAACACCAGACCTTTTGTTTGGATTTTGGGTAGCAATTCACTAGTGTTGTCACAGAGTAAAAAGCCTTAAACAGTTGCTCTTCACGTAGACAGCTTCCTTCAGCTTTTTGTGTCATAGCAGTGGCAGGAGCTACAGAAGTTTCTATTATCTTCTTACAGATTTTATAGGCATACTCACAGCAGGTAGTGCAAAGAAAGAAATGCCAAGTAGAGCAAATCCGGCGGAAAGCAACCTTCCAAGCCAAGTAAGAGGAGTTTTGTCTCCGTAACCAATGGTTGTCAATGTGATCTAAAAAGAAGTTAATGAACATTGTGGTTTACCAGAAGTCACTGACAGATTAGTTGTAGATTATTTACATTGCATGAAGCAGCATTTCCACTAAATAATTCAAGACATATTAAATATGTAATTGTTTCTATAAAACCCAAACATAAATAAATTAATATTAGGACATTTTGCTATGAAAACTTGAAATTGTTTATGATTGAATAAAACTGAAATAAATAATAACTGTGAGAAAAACAAATAAGCAATAAATAAGTGAACCCCCCCCCCCAAACCAGAAAGTCTTGAGCACAAATTTGAGGGAAAAGAAGGGAAATTATGTAAGTTGGGCAGAAAAAAAGGGTTCTTTTCCATGGATGTAAAGGAGTTTCACCTGTTTTCTGCAGGGAAATATAACTATGTATTTGCACAACTACACAAATATAAATTACAAAGAGATCATACTGGAAAAATACAGTAGGGAGGAAGTGGATGCTTGCAGATGATATAAAGTCAAAGGAACTGCAAGAAGCAGCTGCATTTTTTACAAGCCCATCAGTACAATTTGAAGTGTATTATCTTTTGAAACACAAAAAAACCTAATCAAAATGTGGGAGGAACTTTAAGAAGTTCCTGGTCCTTTCTCCTTCCTTCTGACAGGGTTTGATACACCTGTATCACTCCTGACATTAAGCTCCAAAGGTTAATACTCAGCAACGATGCAAAGGTACCTCGGGCTGCTGGAGCACGTAAGCTCAGACCTACCTGGACAGAGGTCAAAGAGAAAGGGAAGGCACCTCTAACCCCTTCATATGGTGAGTATAACTAGAGGCTCAGCACACAGATGCTTCAAAAGCAGTTCTGTGGAAGCCAGCACCCCTGCTGCGCAGCATCAGTGCAGTCCATGGCAGATTTTAGTACAGGTGGGAGGGCTTGCTGCATGGGGCTTGTTGACCACAGGTCACTAGCAATGTGGCAGATGCCATTGACATAATGGTGGATGGGTGTGGCTCACTGAGAGTATCTCGAAGGCAAAAGATTAGGGCTTCGTGTGTGTGTGTGTGTGTGTGTGTGTGTGTGTGTGTGTGTGGCTGAGGATCTTCCCTGACCCAAGGAATTGTCCTGCAGGCTACTCTTATCCTGGGAGGCACATCAGTCCCAAACCTGTGGACTGGGTTGGTGGGAGAAAGTTGAGTCTCTGTGCTTCCACCCTGGGGAGTTTGGGCTCACATGGCTGCCTAGCATGGGCGGCTGGAGGAGGTGTGGGCAGAGCAGAGGATTTCCGAAGGCTGAGTGGGAGGCTGCAGAGCGTGTGCTCAGGCAATGGCACAAGATGTTAAAAGACAAAGATAGACAACAGTAGGCTGAATGCCAAGGACTCCAGGGCCTGTTATTAGGGGGAACATGTGCATGGTGAATTATTTTACATCGTGTACCAAATGTGGGCAAGTTCAGGCTTAGCAAATATTCTGGCAGCAATGAATTCTTCAGGAAATTGCCTTCTAGAGACATTATTTTGCTTCCAGCTTCCTCAAAGTTCATTCCTAGGCAAGATGGCCAAAACAATTCTATTTAATGTCAGGGTCACCACGGGACAAAAGAAGGAAAGTCTTTTGGAAGTAATTAGATTTCAACTATTTAGGACTCTGTAGATAGTAAACAGTGCTTTTAATTGCTCCCATTGTTGGGAACAAGCTGCGGGTGTAATTTACCCTGAGAAAGCCAGACACTAAGAGTGAGAGAGATGAATTCAGGCTGCTGCAGCTGAAATTTCAAGTGGTTATCAAGTCTCAAGTTTTGTAATGATAGACTGGTCACAGACACATGACCTTGCATGAGTATCAGGTCTTGCTCTCCTTCCTTGCTCTTCTTTGCTTCCCTGCCCCTTCCCCTGTTCCTGGTTTTTACTGGACTCTTTGGTGAGCCAGTGCCACCCAGGAAGGGGGAGAGAATGATCCACATTTCTGGGTGGTTTGCTTCTGCTGCTTTGGTGAGTTGTGTCAGCTCATGGATGTGCAAACAAGCTCCAGAGACTACACAAGGCAGCGAGTGACTGAGATGGAGCAATAAGGAGGAAGGGATATGAGAATGCAGATCCCTCATTTCTGGCAGATGTGAGCTGATGAAGCCATGCACTTGGCCTGGCAGAGGGGCTTGATTTGGTTTTCTGTTGTTTCCTGAAGAAGATAATCACAGCTCTTCACATCACAGGACAACTGCAAAACAGTTTGAGGCTATTAAGAGCCCAAAAGTAGTGAAGCACTTGAACAAATTAATCCCTGAATAAAACTTCCTCAAAATTTGTTTCCAAGCCAGTCATTGCCAAGCAGTTTGGAGCTCTGGAATAAGCCCACTATCTTGGCTTCTGTCCAGCTCCCTATCTCTGCCAGACGCTGGAAAGTACAGAGATGTCTCCTGCCTGAGCTAAAGAGAAGGAAACAGAACCAAGTGTCATCTGCACATTAATGATATTGCCATCAAACTGTATTCCAAAGAAGTAAAAGATAAACTTGAACCTTTGGGACCTGACATCTGAGAGTGATCCAAAACCAGGAGCAGTCACACAGACTGTGTGTCTGGAATTTCTCCAAAGAAAATAACAAGATCATATTAAAGCCTTTCCCCCAAATCTTCTAGGTACTAAGTACTTAATGGTATCAGTCTGTGATAAAGAATATCAGTTGGTTCTTGCTCACTTCGAGTGGTTTTATCTCAGGGAGGTCTTTACATGGGTGTATAGGTGTCAGCACTGTGCTGTACTGTCTTACCCAACACTGAACAAATGGGTTAGATCTTCATTTTATACTCCTCCTATCATAGAAATAAGAAAATGTTTATCCGGACAACTTCAGGGTCAAGTTCAGGAATCTCTGCATCTTTGTAAGTGTTGGAAGTGAATGACTAAACCAATGGCCAGGCCCTGATTGGCATAATCCTACGATTAAATTAACTATATAGTATGTGGAAAACTACTTGTTGTGAAACCATGACATGAAATTTCCAGACACTGCTGTGAGAGGCAGACAGAAGTTACAGCTAGCATTGTGGGGGAAGGCTGGATCTCACAGGTGGGTAAGAGAGAAGTGACCAAAAGTCAAAGATGGCTAGAGGAAAGCTTTGGTGACTTTTCAGGGATTACAATCTTGCAAGGACAATAGCACAATAGGACTGCATCAGAGGTACCATACACAGCCCAGAGTGACTAGGGAACAGAATTACAAAATCTGTAGTAGCAAACTTGTGAGGGTAGTTAGAGACATGCTGTTTATTTGAGAGACTTGATCAAAAGAAGCAAAAAAAAAATAATAAAAAAAGAGAAGATACAGTAAAAGAAATAACAATGTGTGTAAATCATGTCTTTCTGGAGACAACCGCTGAGCAACTCCATGTCTAATCACCACAGCCTAAACCAGGAAAATAAACCAAACCTTTTAGAGCATATTTGTAGATTAATTTTGCTCAACATGAAAAATAAAATGCTTAGGCATTTAGCACGATCTGGTCATCGCAACATGCACAAAGGAAAAAGAGACTCCTCCAGCAGGTAACTCATCCTGTATTAAAGTGTAGCACTTGGGCTTGCCTGAAAACAAATGTCTAGTACCACCTGAGATATCCTAGGACATCTGTAGAGGGACCACCTACAGGAGAGGCAGCAGACTCTCCAACAGATCTTTGATGGTACTGTATGCTTATGTTTAGTCACCTGAATCACACTCCTGCGTGGTTAAGTGAGCTAGCTGGGTCCTGTCTTTTAAATCAGATGCAAACCACTTCATTTTGGTTACTTCTCTAAATGAGGTGTCTGGACAGACCAGCCAAGGCAGGCACTGTCTCCTGGTCAGGCTCAAAACTCACAATGATGATAGAATTTCTGTTATCTCATTGCTGGAGCTAATAAATATGCTAATATAAGTGAGGTAATATAATAATGGATGCCATTTTATAACTTAGATGACTTCAATTAGATGAGAAAGGACCCAGGAGGCCATCTTCTATGCTTATATTTCTTTCTGATGTCATTTTATGTTCTCCTAACAGAACCTACCTTTTGAATCTTTACCTGACATCACTTAACTGAAAAAAATGTAGTTTGCTCATGCTATCATTACATTAAATGGGAAAAGTGTCATCAATATAAACTCAAATGAGTTAGTCATTGTGACAATATTATTCATTGTAATACGCTCTGTTCACCAACAAGTCACTGTTGTGTGCCAGAGCCATTCTGTATTCCAACTGAAGCCACTGGATACTACTAGAAAATAAAGGTTTATTAAGACAAATTTTGTCAAATGTGTAAGAGAGATAGGAATCTTAATTGCATTGCATTTGCAGCTAAAACTAATTAGTGTACAACCTAGATGTCATTATGAGCATACACAGTTCTAGTTAACACTAGAGTTTCTCCAAAAACCATGCACGGTTTGTTTTGAAACACTTAAGTTTTTTTGATTGACCTTTTGTTCCCATATAGTCAGGTTATTTTCTTCTGTCAAATGAATATACCCTGTCTGCCAAAGCAAATTTTGAACTTGAGCTCTTTGTATAACACTCACCGTTGGGTACTGCTGTGTAAGGCAGTGCTGTGGGGACCCCAACTACAAGAATATTCACACTAGCAATACTAGCATGATGTTTAAATTGCAGGTTGCACACTACAGTATGCAATTGCAAATGCATTGGAGTATTCATATGTAAATTGGGAAGCCCTATCCTGCCTTTCATTTCAATGTAAAAAATATGGGCTTCAGAAATGGAGTCAGTGAAATGACCATAGCAAAGTATGGCCCTCAAATAATCCGAATTCGTGAATGGGTTAATTGCAGCATGCCGGGGCTGATCCTGTAAGGAGGGTTATAGTGCCTCTAAAAGCTTGAAATTTAAGGCAACTATTTGTGCCTGACTTCAATATTGTCTTTACTTTCTTGTACCTTTGCCATGACAGAATTCATTCCAGCATTTGGTAGATAATCTGTGGTTTATGTTAGAAAAACTTTTGCAAATAAACAAACCAATGAGACAAAGCATTGATTTCCCCTAGAATGCCACACAATCTGACCTTTTCAAAAATCTTCATGTGGGTTACTCTGGCAGTAAAAACAACCATGACTAAGAAGCACATTATGCATTTCCCACATACTGTTTTACATATTATACAAAAAATACTATTATTAAAGTGGCAAAAATAACAGGTAAGGAGAACATTGATTTCCAGTAACTTTGTGCACTTGCTTAAGTGCATTAAAAATTTAAATGTATCCATGTCATACACTGGGGAAAGAAGAAAAGATATAGAAGTGTACAATATATATTGTTTGCAGGGGTTTTTATTACAATTTGTTGTTTTTCCTGCTGAAATCTAGACAAGATTCCTATTTTCTCAGTTGCACTACTTATATAACCTATGAGTCATACATTTTCACTTCATAGTGCACAAAATATTTTAAGTACGACTTTATACAATGTTTATTTCCTAGCAGGGTTTTTCCTTAAAAAATAGCAGTCAGCAGGTAGCGCAGAAGCAAATTCTAAAATAAAGATCTTGTTCCTGCTGCTAGAGCTGCTCAGGGAGAAGGATCTGGATCTAACATAAGCCTAAGTCAGATGTCAGAGTGGAAGTCTGAGTTTGCTGGGAATTTCTCATTCCTTGTGCATATGTTTTCCCCCATCATTCCCTGCTAGCAGGTGGGTACAATCCTCTGCTCAGTCCAAACTTCCTGCCTATGCAGAGCTAAGTCACACGTGGTCTTGCAGAGAGGCAGAGGGTGTTTTCCAGGGAATCAAATGTCTGAAAACATCCATTCCCAAAATGGTGCATTGCCACAGGAGCATTTCTTGCAGGACAACATCCCCACTGCCATCCCCAAAGGGGCAATGGCGTTTTCAGACTGCCAGCGCCAGGGTACCCTTTAGTGAGGACACAAGCATGCCAAGCCAGATGCTTCACAACTGTGTCAATACAGGAAGGTTAGAAAGTTTTAAGGCAAATCTAGATCTTTTGAAGAAAAGTAAACCAAAATAAATTACAGTGTTGCAACTGAAGGCAAAACCTTCTCTCATTGCTTTAACCAATATGAATTTTACATGTGTTTGGACTACAGGATAAAATATGTATTTTATCATAGATCTGCCTTGATGCTCCAAAGCAACGATTTTCAGGAAAAAATACTTTGGTATATTTTCAAATGCACAAATAAGACTTACTAGGTCTGGCTTTTCCAAGCTCCCAATTTTTGCACTGATAACACAGAAATACAGTCTCTAGGGAAGACATGCAACAAATGACTAGCCCTTAGATAAACAAATTTCAACAACTACCCTTATTAATGGTAAGTGACCTTGATCTTAGCTGAAAATGTAGAAAAAACTTCTTAAAAATATTTCACAACAGTTTGGAAAGTTGTGTCTTTTTCACAGTGCATGGGTGCATGCTCTGAATCTGCAGATGGTAGTGTCTAGATGAAATCTTTTCACTAGAAGGTCTGAGGTGAGAAAGTTCCATCTGTGCATCCTTATGATGAGAAAAGGTAGCAGAGACTGGTTCAGGTCTTGCACTTATTCCAGGAAAACTAATGAGTGTTCCAGGTTATTAGGTTATTTAGCTAGGTTCAGCACTAATTAACAGGTATCATTTCACTACCCAGACATTCTCAGAGCACAATGTGTTTGTTCTACTGCATCAGAAGGAAAAGAAAAGCCATTTTATACTGGCTGACAATAACTCTGCTGTAGGTTATTTGGGGTCAGATTTCTTAAGCTGCCTAAGTAATTCTCACACAGTACAGGAATCTGGATCACTACAGGGCATTCCTAAGCAAAAAACCCTACACATTATGAAATTTAAAAAAATAAGAAAATAAACCCTTCAGACCTAGCCTTTTGTTGTTCATTTAAATCCTAGTTTATTTAGCCATATAAGCATTCATATAATCCTCCATCTTTCAGAAAAGCAGTCAGGCATGTACTTAGATACCATCTAAGTAAGAAGTACTAAGTCAGAATCCAGAGTAAAACCAGATGATTTGATAGTTAAACATGATGTCAAGTAAATCAGGCTTTTATACCTGTAAAAAATAACATTGCTAAACCAGAATGGGCATATTCTTGCTTTTTGTACTCAAAGTACAGAGGAAGGAGAAGTAACATCTTTCTAAGGGTACTGATGATATTCTCCCTTTCACCACAAAGCCAAAGATTTTTTTCCCACTTTCTCTCCTGACACTTGTTCCTCTTCCTCACTGCAGCTTACAGCTCTCTGATGTGTATCAAAGCAGATCTTTGTGGGGCCATATTACAAATTATATTACTGAAAGGCTGAGGGTTAAAAAGTACAATGCATTCTTCTCTTGAAGGTTTTGTGGTCTGGTTTGCAGCAGAAACACACAAACAGCTGTTCTGCAGGATGGGCTGAAATCTGTCGATGTACAAATGAATAGCTGGAGGAGGGATTTTCTCAGACAAGTTTTTTTGCCAGCAAAAATAATTTACCAAAGAGCGCACTAAGTCAAAGTCTTCAGCAGGTGAAATTCACGGCACTTTAGCATACTGGTTAAAGAGTTACTGTTATTTTTCTGTACTTACTGTGCCCCACCAGAGAGCATCTGCATATGTGGAGAATTGGGTATTTGCATCTTTTTCCACCAGATAAACCAGGAAAGATGAAAAGATGAGTACCAAAAATCCTATGTACCAGGCTGTGATTAATTCCTAGATAAAAGAAAACAGACATCAATATCCACTAAGACTAAACAGAATGGCATCTTAAGGAAGACATATTTAAAAGATCTCCCTCTATATATTTTTTTGGCATTTGTGCAGTTAAAAGTCAAGTGGTTCCCTATGGCTACAAATTTTCTCTGAAAGTGGACTGGATCTACTCCTATGGTTTGACGCTTCAGCAACTTCACCAACAAATAACAAATTACAACTGCATATCAAGGACAACATTTTCAAGATATCCTAAAAACTGTTAGCATTAAACATGGCCTGATGTATTTGTGCTAGTTCACATTAAAATGGATGTTATTTCAGAAAATTTTTGATATTCTACTAAAAACTGAAAAATGTTTATTTCCTTGGCCTCTTGTTGAAAATCACATCAAGTGAAGATGTCAACCAGACAAAATTAGTATCTAGGGTTACATACCTTGCTATGTGCATAAACTACTGAACCTAATAATTTCCAAGTGCCTCCTCTTCGGTCCATACGCACCATACGAAGGATCTGTAGGAAACGAAGACTTCTCAGTGCTGATGTTGCAAAAATGTTACCCTGAGTTTTTGCAGAAACAACTGCTATTGAAGCGATGAGAACAATGATGTCTGAAAGAAATACATTACAGAAAACATTAATATCCAAGTATCAATAAATAGCACTTATATGTACATGAGCTGAATGAAGGAGCTGAATGAAAAGAGAGACTCTTGTAGTGGGTGGAAATCCAAAGCCCAGATTCCTGTTTGAGGTAGGGATGTGAGGTCAGGGCTGGTGTCAAAAACTACCTTGGGAGCCTCCAGGCTGAAAACTAAGGGTAGTAATTTTCAAAACAAAACATGGATAAGAGGAGCAGTGTTGAAGAAACATCATGTAGGTGCTTTGAAACCTCACGTAGCAAACTGTACAAGTCAGTAGATGGATTAGAACTTTTCCAGTTTATATATCTCCCCATAACAACTTTCCTATCAAAAGCCAAAAAAGAAAAGTAAACTAAGAAAATAACAGAGCAGCCTCAGAGGTGAGTGTCCAGTGGAATTAGACTTACAAGCACAGTACTAATTTCCTATGAGAACAGACACTAGGTGGTTGAGGCATGTAGTTTCTGGACTGAACTCCCCTGATGTACTAATTCCTGGAAGGGAGGAAATACAGCACTGGGTACTCAGAAGCATTCTTTTAGCTGGCAGCCTGGAAAGTTTGTTGAAGCTCAGCAAGTGTTAGAATTTATTTCTTTGGGTCACAGATTCAGACTGTAAGAGAAACTCTGGTGTGCATGAGCTAATCTGCCAGCTGCCCTTGGAGCCAGAACAGCACTTAAGGGGAGATGAGGAGAAGCAGCAGAGTGATGGAACACGGATGTTGTGAGAAGGCATAATATTCTTTTATGACGATTGGGGTGGACAAACTGGTGTGCACAGAGTGGGAAAACACAGAACAAGCTCTTTGTTACTTCCTCACTTCAAGATTAATTTCCTAACCATCTTCAAAAGCTTAAAGAGCCTTTGTAAGAAATACCTTTGGGTTTCTTATTGTACGTTTCTACGCAAGGAAAATCTAAACCCATGTCTGCCAGTGAAAAACTGGAAGCAAGTTCTTGCTGATATGAGTTTTCCTTCTTTTGTCCTGGGTATAAACACTCATCTTGTCCCAAGCATAGCTCCTACAACTCAAGAATAACTCAGTAAGTGAAACTCCCCTCCTCCACAGGCAAGCAGTGAAAGACTATACTTACAGATAGGAGACCCTTATCTTAGCCTGTCCCAGCACAGCAGGAAATAGTTTTTGTTCATTTTGCTCAGCCACCGAAGGAAGCTGAGGTCCAAATACCTTTCCTTGCCTGCAAACATACGGGGTTTCTCTGAACTCACCTATGGATGGCTTGTCCTCTTATTACAATGCCAAGGGTACTGAAAACCTCTACCTGCGGTTTAAAGATTGTTTGATTAAATTGTGGAAATTTTTTGTCACAAGGGGCTAGAAATTTATGTAGGTTTAAATCCAGTTGGACAATCTCATGGGAGAAGATTTAATCCTGGGTTAATTAATACCAAAAGCCCACTTCTTGTTCAGGACGTCTCTGAGTAGCAGGTTTTTGGAAGCTGAGGGACTCTTGCGGAGAAATATCACTGTATGTTTGCCCTGCTTGTGTAATCTTCCCTGACTGTTCACCGTTGCCTGGTTGCACATACTGTGTTGGGGTAGGCTGACCTTCTGCCTGTCTTAAACTGACATTTTAAAATATCTTTGGCTACTACATAGGTGAATCCTAGGTGGCTACTATAAAATTGGCTACCAAAAACACTGGAGTTGCTTCTAGATGTAAATCTAACAAGTTCAGAGATGAAGAAGAGCCAGAAATGGATAAAGGATCCTGGGGTGTCTCTGCGCAGTACAAGTCTCAAGAGCACAACAACCAGATGCAGGAGGTCTTGGTGAGAATTCAGAAATAGGAAAATTGACCAGGAAAAGTTAAAGACATCACAAATTCTGATGGAGATCAGAAAAATAGATGGGATGGGATTGAACTCCATGTGAAGACATTTAAATTTAGACATCTACATGTGAAGCAGGTGTTTAAACTCCCCATGCAGCACAAGGTAATCAACTCAACTGAGAGAGGTGCAGCTAATCCTCAGGAGGGCTCCTGCTGTCTGCTCAGCTGCCTCATGCTCTAGGCTTGGTACAAAAAAGGCTTGATTCAGCTGCCCAAATTGATTTGTTCAGTGCCATTTGAGATGCCTTAAGGTATCTGAGACATCTCCTAGATCTGGCAGCTATGCTCTTGGACCTGGGAAAGCTGTACTCTTCAGGAGAAGTCGCTGGAGAGCAAGGAATATCATGTAACAGGGGACACCTCTATGTACTCTGCTGAATTAAGCCCTAGATCTCAATTGACTACACTGGAAGTATAGACACTTAGCCCACATATACCCACCTAAAAGCAAACCTCTATATTTAGTTGTGTTTATTTGTATCCAAGGCTCACATACAGTGTGCTGGAATGCCTTGAACAGTACAGACTGTGCAGAAGAAGCAGCGTCCCTGGTGACTAACATGATGGCAGGGTGATCTTGACTTGTCCTATGCAGGTCTAAGTGAAGCAGCAATGTAATATTCACTTTTATTTAGTGTTGACTGGCCAGACATCACTATGAAAGCAGCATGCATTCCTGCAAATAATTCGTAGAACTTAAAAAAAAAAAAGGTCACCCAAATATTATGAATTATGGATTTGGTCCAGAAATTATTAAAGTGCTTACTGGTGGTTTTGGTTAGCCTGAACTAATTCCAACAGGGCATTTTTAAGCAAAATCAGTAACTTGCACCTGACCTTATTCCTACTTATTTAGGAGCTCTGACAGTTTTCTTCATAAAATAGTTTTATGGAGGCCCTCCACTGCAAAAGATTCAAATTAATTCAGTCTTGCCAGCAGCACACAGTATCTACCCTGCACTGCCGGGAGCCCTCTGCCCCACCAAGGGTCTCAATTCCCTTCTGACCACGAGGGACAAAGTCAACAGTAGCATAGCTCTCTTTCACCTTCTTAAAAGCCTTGGTCCAAAGAAGTTATTTATTTGTGTATACCCTCCTGTCCAGAGGGTAGAGATGAGACTCTCCCTAAAGGGAGGAAAGGCTGAGGAAAGAGGGGAGGCGAAAATGCACTGGAACTTATTTGAAAAACAGTTGAAGGGAAGACAACCTCCCCTGGCTGCTGGAGGTTTTTCACACCTTGCTCTCTCATAGTCTTCAACTCTCCACAGCCCCAACCCCCACCAACACCCCATCCCTAACTCCTCAGGTTGGAAATAGGGAAGGAAAGAGTGTGTCTATCATCTAAGTCAGCCCTCCCTGGCTGTGTTTCCCTAGGAAGCAGGGAAGGCAGGCGGGCACATTATTTCAGTGGAGTTTAACTTGTTAGGAACAGGTGTAAGATAAATCAAAACAAACCCTTTTTGGAATGGAATCAAAGTCCAAAGAAAAGTTTGTAACAACTGAAAGTCACTTCTGAGTATGTTAAACTTTCTTGATTTTCTTATCTAAACACAGCCTGGAAAAAAAGTTAAGTACTTTATGGTTTTCTCCCTGCCACATTTTTATATAGTATGCCTCAGGTGGCATTTGCCCTCTTTTAAATCAAAAGAGTAAAATACTATTCTGAACTTTCTTTTGTATTCCATATGAATTTAACTAAAACCTCCATGGTATTTCTGTACTTTAAGGAGGCTTTACCAAACTTTATCAACATTCTTCTCTTTATCTTTTAGTGGTAAAAAGTGGGAAAAGAGGTAGAATTAAACAGTAACATTTCAATTAATTTAGTGGGGCCTCAATTTTCACTCTGTATCTTTCTGCAAAGCACCAGAGAAATTTTGGATGTGAGAATGAGTAATGGGCAATATAATTCCAAACTTCTCTGTGGTTTCTCATTATCAGACAGAGGTTTCTGAGGCACATTTACCCCTTTTTTTTTTCTTTTTCCAAGCTAATATGTTGTGTATGATCTTCCAAAACCTTAAATGTCTTTAGCCATGATGATGATTTTATTCACTCTTTTGAAATATCTCTTGTATTTTTATCCTTGTAGATAACATCCTATCTCGTTAACTCCAGTCTGAGATTTCAAATCCTCTCAGTAGCTTTTGCAGTGTTCAATTTTGAACATCTCATTTCAAATTAAATTTCAAACCATTAATTCTTTCGCTTCAGACATTTCACCTAGTAACACTCCAGAAATGCTGAGATTACATGAAAGTTTTGTGAATAGTAACTTAAAAAGGCTTTTTTTAGTCAACGACTATGTTAACAACAGGGTCCTCTCACAAAAAATAAAAAAAGATGAACTCAGAACTCATGTGTGTAACTGATTACACATATATTGTCCTATCTCACTAAAATAGTACATATAAGTAAAGACAAGTAACTGAACCTGAGTAATGCAACTACCTGAAACTTGAATAATTCATGCAAGATTTGTCAGCCTGAGTTCTCCAAATTCACAGATGAAAGCCACTGTTGGGCTGCCCTAGTCTGCTCAAGCTCCATCAGAAATTCTGGATTGCTTGTGTTACTGATGAAGGCTCAGTTGGCATTTCTAAGCTGTAAGCACTTCTAATGGGAACTCTGTGACTGAGAGATTGATAATGGTAGAAAAGGAGGCATCACAAATCCTCACAAGAGATCGTTTTACTTCTAATTACTTTTCCAATGCAACTTTCCTACTATGAACTTTTGGGATGCCATGAGATTTTACAGTATTCAAAGGTATCATGTGAATGGATCCAGTTATACAAATAAAGGGAGAACACAAAAGTTTTATTTGGATGTTGTGAAACATCTCAAAGCCTTGATGTGCCACCAGAACAATCTCTAAAATTACAGAAATGAAGGTCAAGATGACTTTTTACAAGGGCATGTAATGATAGAACAAGGGGGAATGGCCCCTGTAAACAAGTGTCAGTTTACAGAATCACAGAATATGCCAAGTTGGAAGAGATCCACAAGAATCACTGAGTCCAACACCTGTGCCTGCACAGGACCATCCCCAAGAATCACACCATATGCCTGAGAGTATCATCTTAAAGCTTCTTGAACTCTGGCAAGCTT